AAATAAAAACACCAATGTATGTAGCATGCCTTAGGGAGCTATTCGTGTGATTTTCAAAAAAAAATGTGAAAAGTGCCCAAAAAACTATTCTGCTACCTTAAATGACCTATCCGTACCAGACAACTCAATCCACTTAAAGAAAGTAATTTTTTAGCCTGACTATACACTGATCACAACTCTCACCATGCTCGGGCTTGAAATTCATAAACCTCAATCTATAGCCCTCCTCCGTCAATTCATATCTTTTTAAGCAAAGCTTCTTTAACCAACCCATAATCGGATGCTGCCATATCTGAAAGCCTAGAATATACATCTAAAGCTTTACCAGTTAACAACGCACTTAATGACGTAGCCCATTTGGATTTATCCCACTCATTGCTTGCGGCAAAACGCTCAAAACGTAACAAATAGCTATCCAACTCATCCTTCCCATCAACAAAAGCAGGAAGCTTAGGTGATTTTGCTAAATCAGTGTACCTACTATCAGGGTTTCTACTTAGAGCACCTTTTAAGTCAAGTTGTTTCATTTCTAACTCATGTTTTCGCTGAGCTTCATTTTCTTCAAACTCAGCCTGCTGTCTTTTTCTATCAGCTTCAAGCTGCATAGCCTTCTTTTTCTCTTCAAGCCCTCTCTCAGTCTCTACCTTTTTGAACTCACGTTCTCTCTGTCTTTCTTCACGCTCTATATTCTGCTGTTGAGTTACAAAATCTAACAAATCTGTACCTTCCAACCCAAGCTTAGAACCCGACTCTATTAATTTATCCATATGGAAGTTACACCAAGATAATCAAAATAATAATAACAGATACACAATCTCAAATAAAACACCTATATCAATAATACTATTAGTGGCCGGACACTTACGTTCAGTTTTTTTTTTTTAAATGGAATTGTACACACCAAAAACTCACCGACCGAGCCACACCTTAGGCTATATACCACCAAATATAATAAACAGCTGTCCACAGTTATAATATGACTAATCCTATGCCGTACAATGCGTCCTAGTGATATACAATTATGATTATTGTTACCAAATTTACTCCTTTATGACAATCATTAAATTACCATTAATAAACTCGCCAAAACTATTATATTACATTAAATCTACTAATGCCCGTAGCAATTAGAAATTAGTCTCGAAAAGGCGGACACATCAGCTGATATCTCGATAGTTTCACACACAGTGATAAGCACCTTCACGCATGAGTTCACTACCCCCGCAAGATGTACGGTGTTCAAGAGATACCAACCAGCACTGTCACAGCAAGTGATCTACAATGATCAAATTATCGCCTGAAGAACAGGACATTTTTTTTCTGCTATCGCTACCTCGGGGGGGGGGGGGGCAAGCACATGTTCGCGAATTTTCTCAAAATTTTCTGGCCTAACTTCAGCACTTGAAATTCAAGAAACAGAAATAAAATACCACAGGATCCCTATAACACAAGAAAACACACTCCCGGACGAGCCCCCATATGTCACAGAACGCTATAACAAAACCAGTACAACAGATCACTCACCATCAGTCCTCGCTAGCTACTCCGCTATCTTAGCCCCGCTTGTGTGTTTTTATCCTGCCACAGAGGGCGCACCACGTAAAACCACTTATGCAAATTAATGTAAGAATAAATAATAAGAATTCATGACAGAATATAAAAAAATCCTTAAATAGATATGTTATAAGCTTTATTTGAAATGAAGTTTTCAGTGAAAATAATATTGCAGTATGTCCTATTTGTTGAAATATTTGGTCAAATATCAGTATGGCCGAAGCTGTTGCTGGCTGAAAGTTTAGTATTTTCCTCTGATTCGTAGGAATTTGAAAAACACGTTTCCTAACTTGCGTAATTGGGAATTTGGATTGGATTCAAGACTAGTAAATATATCGCTTATAAGAAGATAATTAAATTAATTATTTGATTATAGTTTGTACGACAGCTGACTGTGAATAAGAATATCAAACTCAGGACCCTACAATATCAGTTCCATTCAAGTTTGTGTAGTAATTTTAATTTGTTCCTTCCAAAAACTAAATTGAAATCACTACACTTGTTTGATAAGTCTAATATTGCTAAGAAAAAATAGTGCCAGCGCAACAATTTGTCGATACTTTGCCCCATATACCAAATACGCCGAGCTATACGTTAAGCGCAGACGACGTGTATCATGAGAATACGGCATATACTCAGTCAGTATGTGGTTCGCCGTGCATTCTGGGACATATTCGTCAATTACTGATATCACGTAGGTACACATATATTTAACCCCACAATATTGTTTTACGTGGACGAGTGATCACCGCCAGAAATTTGTTTCAGTCCAAGCCATATTGGTGTAATGGGAAGTACTGAATAATAATGTCGTAAATACGCACACGGGTTTGACAAAATGGACCATTTTTAACGCAACCAGTAGTCACTGGGCTGTATATAAATCCAAAAGCTATGCACAACTTCCAGGCAGCGCGTACAATGAAACAAGCTTGGATGACAAGTGACGTCACAATATGTGATTTGCATTTTGTATCGCTTCTCTGCATTACGTCACACTGTTGAGATACGCACGTTATGCATGTGATAAAGAAAATCATTGAAAGTAATTGTCTTTATTTATTAAAGACACCGTTCACCAGTATTATTAATTGCAGGCACATTACAAATGCAAATGGGCGAAATGAAACTAATTTAACTTTTATAATTATCATAATCTCTAATGTTATAATTAGTGAATTTAGCAGAAAAGCAAACAAGTTTTACGTAAAATGTTTCCACCAAATTATCGTATGATTATACACAATATTTAATTTATGCTCATCAAGATATATCGGTCATATCCTATGAGATAAAACTCAATATATTTAATACTATTTGACTTCGTAGAATGAAACGTAAATGCTGTTACATAGTGATTACTAATACATTAATTTACGAACAGTAGCTATTATCAACTGTATACATGTGGTGATTAGTAACGGATTCAGCAATGCGGGATATCACCTAGGTCAGAATAAATTGTGAGAACCGGTAAGACCGTAACTTAGATACTTTGCATTTTGTATCGCTTCTCTGCATTACGTCACACTCTTGAGATACATAATTGTCTTTATTTATTTATTTTTGAGGATAACTATTTTTATGGGCTGTTAAATAAACTAAATAGCGATACAATATGTACAAACAAGAAATAACTACCAATAAATTATAGTAGCTTTCGTTGGATTTAGCTGCTTACTTATTTATTGCCCATTGAATGTAAATGTTCAAGGTTACATCATTCTTCACTCTCGTCTGATTGACGCTCAAAACAAAAATTCAATGTGCAGCGGAAACTGTCACGTGTAGGACGGCTCCAGCTTATTAATGCGTCCCGCGGAAACCTCTACTCTTGGATTTTTTACTTGCCCTGGAGATAGGAACAGTACACGGGACCTACAGCTTTGCGTTTCCCTAAGAAAGAACGCCATTCTCCATATATGTGCAAATATGGGAGCCGAACCCGCAATCTCCCATACAATGGGTGGACCCGCTAACCATCAGGTTCCTGTATATACGTTCATCCCAAATCTGTAGTGTCAACAATCACTTTGAGAAATGCCACGTCATCTTTTACGTAAGCGTGACGTGGACTGTGAAGCTGGGATAATGGCATAAACAGAGGGCACCCACTAGCAATATTCATATCATTCTTAGGTCGTTGGAACGAGTTTGACGTTGGATCAGGTCGGAAAGCGTCGACGACATGGTCTCGATTATTTTGATCCAACCACATAAAAGTTACCTTCTGTCGAAAGGGCCAACGTAAGATGGCGTCGTTTGGACCCCGCATGATGACGAAGAACAGTGAGACATGATTCCCCTTGCCCATTCCATCGCCGTTAAGATATACCCGTGCGCACATCTTGTAACCATGACGACCAGTAAAGAAGCATTGTGAGTAAACGGATGTGGTCTTCCCCGATACAGCTTCCTGGCAACGTCGATTGAAGTCTGCTATTTTCCACACCATGATACCATCATACGATGCTAGTTCCAAAGTCTGAATCATCAAATTCTGCTCCGCTAAGGCCACGTCCTTCAGGGCTATTATCCTATCTTGGGATTTAATCTTTCTTTCCAGTGATTCGATAAGATCTCGGTCACGTTTTTGTTGTCCTTCAATAGTATGTACAGCCTGTGCGTCTCTTTCAATTTGACTATTCAATACTGCTACTATTCCCTCATAAGTCGAAAGCTTATTTTCTAAAACGGTATTTTTGTTTTTGAGTTCCTCTGCTGTCTTTGAATATCTCGTCATTGCTGCGTCAACTTGCTGTATTGAGAAAGCCGCTCCAGATGATCTGTCAGTACTAAAGCGACAGAGACTTTCTTCCATTGTTTTGATACTCTGAAACAATTGTTCAATCTTCTTGTCAGTACGCGCCTGCTGCTGACAAGTGGTCTGTAGGGAATTTCTGTCCAATGCCATGTCCTCAAATTGGTTATTCAGATCAAGGCAAGTTTTTAGCAGCATACCTTGATGCATATGTATATATTCACTGTCATGATCATGAACGCTGCCCCTTGGAAGCTGAAAAATCCAAATGTGTAGGTCAATTATCTGGAGATAGTGGGAATGAATCGACGTCTACTAGAATGCCTTGCTCTTTCATCGCCACAGGCAAGTGTGATGAGCTATTCTTGCAATGGACGCTAGTTCGATGAGTGAAATAGATGCATATGGATTTGAGGTTGACAGGTACGATGGAGCTGAGGTTGACAGGTACGATGGAGCTGAGGTTGACAGGTATGATAGAGCTGAAGATAACAGGTACGATAGAGTTGAGGTTGTCATGTAGGACACATATATTCGGGTTACATCTGTTAGGTGCAATAGGAAATACATAACAGACACCGTTCACCAGTATTATTAATTGCAGGCACATTACGAACATATAAATTCGCGGAAAGCTTGGTTCCAACTCACAACCACGGCAATTAAACAGACATGCCCCTTACGTTATACGCACTGGTCCAAATAGGTAGACTGAAAAAGTGTTCACATGCACTTATAGTTACTAAGATGAATATGATATATTACATAGAGTGTTTATAAGACACATTCTATTAAAGATGCAATGTGGATGAAAACACATATTTTTACATATTGTTGTTTGATATGGCATGTCGAGAACCGAAGAATGAGTTATCGTAACTAGTATGGTAATTTTGCCACACATTCTATGGCATTCGTTTGATGAGAAATGCAAACCACTAATACGCATGCGCAGGGATTGTTGTTGTACGTACAAAAACATGCGCATTAGAAAACTTCAACGAACGAATAATTAGCTGAGTGATAAAGTAGCCTTTTTAGTTCATAATACATACTAATCCAATATATTCATATATCCAAAATGCCGTGTCACAAATCGTTATAAAAAAATAATTAGTGCACGTTCTCGACCATAATGCATCTTTAAAATGGCTGTTGCAAACGTAGATTGTAGTTAATAATGTTATTGAACGTGCTTTTTATGCTTCTAGCCCTATATATAAACAGCACCTACCAAAACATCACACCCAATCGTTTTAAACGAACAGTGGACTAATTTCATGGAGCAATCCCCATTCTCAGGATCCTGGTGGCGTTTCAACTGAAATTAAAAAAATGAATCGACTATTATTATTACGATGACAGTTCACGCGATACACAGCGCACATAGTTTTATATAGCTTGGGTTTTTCTAATATATAAATACTAACATGGTTTTGACCGTAAGATTTTAAAATTGCAGTCAACACAATATGATGGCAGTTCACGGATTAAAAAAGCACATTGTATTATAAATTGTGGGTTTTCGTCACGGTTATATGTAAATACTAAGTTCGTTTGTAGCGTAAAAGCATATAAGGATAAAGCATTATCATTATTATTTTACAAATGGTACCCCATGTTAATTACATTTGTGAGATTCGATTCGCTCAGCATACCTCTTTACGTGATAGGGTGTCTTGGTTACAGTATTCACATTTCACTGGGTAGTTATCGCAGACTCGATTATGTTCCTGTAATATAACACATGGCGTTAATCAACTATTGACTTGCAATCAATTTAGCAATGATGCTATTACGGAGAAATCACTTACGCTCTGATCCAAATGACTAAAGAAACAAAGAATTGTTTTCATTTATATCTTTATGATCAAGCTCGTCGAATTAATTAATATCATTTACTGATTGATAGTTAAAGGTTTGCCATGATTTATAAAACACATATATCAGCCAAATATTAAAATAATACTATTATCTTCAGAAACCCGTTACCTTTATTTCTCTGTACGGTATTTGTTCAGTGCAATATTTACATTTAGTAATCCTCATTGGACAGTGCTTGTCAAGGTGTTCTGAAAGGTTGCTTCTTTTCATCGAAGCACCACATCCTATTTTATTAACACATGTAATTGTAACATGCGGACATAAAGTAACGTGATCCTGTGGGAAAAAAAGTATGAATTAGAATCCTGAAAATCACATATAATTGCTCTAAATGAGTTATTTTCAAATAAGCTGTGTTTATTGTGTTGTTTAGCATTGACATAAAGGAATAGTCATCGTTGCTTATTCTTACATTATAGACATTTAAGTATTAGGCCGATGTAAATGAGTTGCATTTCAGCTTTATATCCAATACGTCGACATTGGTTGACTCGCTTCGGTTCCCAGACTACATGAGTTTCCATTAACGTGGTTGTCGTGAACAAACGATTGCTTTAGTTTTTTTGCGAAATTGCCGAAAAATGAAACTCACTCGCTACAATGCGTGCAAAATGGCTTTGCGAGGTTAAATACAATACACTTTCTAAGAAAGCCACGTAATAAAAGACAATTTTACATCGGTTCATATGATTGAATGCAAAAAATCATAAGCTACAATCATGACACAAAAATGATATCCTTACTAGGTTAAATGCGAGACAATATTTTTGGTGCAATTTTAGTGTAAAACAACTGCTACAAGTCATTGAAAATGACACAGTCCTCGTTAAATGTTTGAAAGTTCTCTTTGTGCTCGTCATATTAAAGCGGAGGGGTTGTCGCGAGCGTGTCCTTGAAACTTGAGTTCCAAGTGGCGTATACAACAGATTGTTTACTTACATCAAAACACATGTGTTATGTGTAGTAGAAATATGGCCAAAATAAAAACAGCCGTTATTCGGCCATCTTTGATCTGAGTATGAAACACACTGATATGTATGATGTATGTGCCAAAAATGGTATATAAATTGTGGAAATATAGTAGTAAGGCCAAAAAGTCAGATGGCTGTCAATCGGCCAGCTTTGACAAGATTTTGAAACAAATTGTCATGGACATGCAAACTAACATATATAAAGTACATGTATGTGGCAAATTTGAATGAAAACTGACAGAGCACGTCCAAGATACCGCATAAAAACAAAAAACAAGATGCCTGCCAGTCGACCATCTTTGATCCATTGCAAATAATCGTCATGGACATGTATCCTAACATGTATAATCTATGTACCAAGTTTGAATGAAAACTGACAAAGCATGTCCAAATACACATTTTCAAAAA